CACCACCATTAATCTCACATTTTTCACACCAAACATATCAAAATCCAACAGAGAAGTGTGATGAATGATTTGAGACTTCGAGATATGGGTTTTATCTTTTTTGGCGAATGATGGATCTGAAAAGTAAGCATTTACCAGAAAAAACACCACCATCATCGAAAACCCCTTATGTTCATGTCGAAAACCTCTTGGTCGATGTCATCGGTTGCTCGATTTCACCGACTGAAGGATGATCTGCGCGTCTCATCTCTATGGAGGTAAAAAACACCAGAAATGTCCAGCTAGCTGGAACGAGATCTAGGTTTTTGAGGGTATTTCTTTAGAGAAAATTAATTAGATGTTTCTTTTCATTGATTTTTTGGTTGAAGTTTTTATCCATCCAGTGAAAATTGTGGAAGTTTTGATCCATCTAGTGAAAATTGCCTCCTCCATTTTTCAAAAATCGATAGTTCTTGATAAAACTCAACATATGTTTCAGATCCAAATATAAGCTCTCTATTTTTAATTTTTTAGTCGAAACAGAGGGATTCAGAAGGGGTGAGAATGGGATTTGGTTCGTGAAGCACACCAGTTGAGGGAAAACCATCCAAAAGAAGGATTCCAATTTCAAATGGGCTTACACTGTTCTTCACTGTGTGTGAGTGTATGTTTTTCAATTTTTCAATGTGTGTAGAGAATGAAGCAAATTTCTGAAAAACGAAGGTTGTAGATGAAGGTTTGATGGAAGTAACGGATCATACAAGTTTTGATCCATGTGGGTTGGGTTTGAAAACAAGATTGATGAGTTTGAGCATCTGGGTAACTGGAAAAGATTAAGAAAAGAGGGTGGGGCTTGATAATTTTCTTCTTGGTGAGAGAGAGAGAGAGAGAGAGAGAGAGAGAGAGTGTGTGTGTGTAGGTGGGTGGTATTTTCTTTTTGTCTTTTTTTTTAATTTATGCAATAAAAGAAAAATAAGAAAACAAAATATGAAGGGTAAATCAGTCATTTTAAGTTTTTCCAAAAACATTTGGACCAAACCTACAATAGAATTCATTTTTTGGACCAGTGGTGCAACTCCAAAACATTTTGTACCAAACATCCAATTTTTGACATACCATAGGGACCAAACTTTCAATTTTGTGTGTGTGTGTGTGTATATATATATATATATATATATATATATATATATTGAACCGGCAAATACAAATATTATAATCTACTCCTAAACTAACACCTAATTCCACCTCTGTTCACCATGAGACTTGAACGCTCGACCTCAAGAAGGGAGGACAACACCTGATACTGTTGGGCTAGAAGCCTTTTGGTACATGAAAAATATATGTTAACAGATTGATCAAGTTCGTATTATTATAATGTTAAAACATTATAAATGATTTTCCTCTTTTGCATCAAGAAGATATTTATGCTAACATACAATATTTTCTTCACAAGATATAAAGCACTACATACTTTATTGTGTTTAAAATAAATTCAGTATTTTCATTCATTGAACCGCATAAACCACTCAAAAATTGCAAAACCGCCTGCACAAAATCGCACCGCATAACGCGGTTTAGAACCTTTGCGGTGCGGTTTCCAAAAATCTCTAACCGCATCTGCGGTGCGGTTTGCGGTTTTGAGTGTAAACCGCACCACGAACACCCTTAGTATTTATATGATACTTTTGATAGAAAATTTTTATTTTAATAAAATAAATATTTTTCAATTAATTATAAGAAATATACTAATATTTATTAAGAATCAAATTCTTATAAATAATAAAAAATAATAATATAAGTGTTTATAATGAAACAAGTTCTTATAAATAATATATTATCATCAAGTTATTGTAAGTGTAACCCTTCATAGATCATATATTATCTAGAATATCATTTTATAAATTATAATGTCTGTTAGACATAAAAGTCTTTCAAAAAGTACCAAGCTTACAGACCTTAATCGAACAAAAACCACATTTTTAGGTCTGTAGAATTACATGGCCGTGTAATTTCCAAGGGAAAAATTACATTGCGTTGAATCTCAAGTTTTTAATGATACGTTTCAAAAATTATTTCACCATTATGCAACCAAATATGGTTAGCTAAGTAATCAAATAGGTTATCATATGCAGGGGGAATGACGAGATCATCTAAAAGTATTCGAGATGCGAATATCCAACTATATAACATTTTGATGCACATGCTCCTAAACACCGATGAACGTTGGCTCCGAGTAGCGAGCTGGGAAATTATATGGCATCTATCTTTTTAGCCTACTATTTTGTCAAGGGATTTAACAATCTTAACATTTTGGTTTGGTGAAGATAAAGGGAACCGCAATTCCGATTCTAGCCGCCATCGCTTGTGGTTTACTAACCATCCAAGCTTCCACGGTAAGCTTCAAAATTTGTTTTTTCTGTTAGTGGAAGAGTCATATTAGAACGAAGGTCATGATTCACCGCCCAATCGATGGAAATATGTATTTTATTGAAGGATTACCTAGTCGGCGTTGAGATGTCACAACTTTGTGTTTGGCTTAAAAGACCGTTTTTACCACCCTTCGAAGATTTCACACAAAAAGAGGTTGCACAGTAGATGTCACCTCCAATGACCGAACTAGATGAGATTGAATTTGAAGATTTCTCGTATTAAAAATGTTCAATTTCATGATGGCTGCAAATTTCAAACTATAATTGCTAGTATATTTTGTTTCGAAATTTATGTTTTAATGTAATTCGAATTTCAAACTATGTTGTCTTATATTTTGTAAAATAGATACTAATACAATTATTCATTTGGTTGGAGTAAAAATTGAGTAAAGAGGTTATTATCGGTTAAACCGAAACTGTTTTTTTTTTAAAAACAATTTATTCTTATCTGAAACCAGACCGAGTATCCTTCTGAGACCCAAACTATCGATAAAAAACGGCTATGTTTTAACTGAAACTGATATAAAAACACGTGATTAAAACCAAACCCTTTTTTTTAAGAAAACAAAAAAATCATTTCAGTTTTAACCATAAAATGCACCTTTAAGTATGTGTGCTTCAAGAGTTCAGGCCTTCAATCCAAGAACCAACTGGGTTTCCTGAATCCTGACTTTCTCCCAAGTTTGGGCCGTTTATGGCCAATTGGGTTGCTTGGTGGATTGCTTCTTGGACGGACCCATGTCCGTGACCATCACTTTGATTGATTATTAAAGATGTTTAATTTTATATTCACATATCTTCCCTAATTTCGTAATTATTTTATAATTATAAAACTTGTAAAATTATCACTTCAGCAACCATGTATCATGCCACATTTACACCATATTAATGTAGATTTTAGTATATTTCTTAGAAGAACTAAACTTGAAATTACTTTTAGGACTTTTATTGAAAAATCTATTCATTTTCATTTCACACATGCAAACAGTTTATCATCTCGTGTACGCAAACGGCTTCTTATACGTTTGCAACAACAACGAAGAACAAACCACACTCACAGAAGAAGCAGCCATACAAGCTCCGGCCAACCACGGCGGTAACCTAATTCCGATGAAAGGAAACAAAATTCCAGCCGCCACCGGCACACCAAGAACATTATACCCAAGAGCCCACACATAATTAAGCCGGATTCTCGAAATCGTCCTTTTAGACAAATCAATCGCTGTAATCACATCCTCTAAGTTACTCTTAATCAACACAATATCCGCCGCCTCAATCGCCACATCTGTTCCGGCACCAATCGCCATTCCGACGTCTGCTGCAACGAGCGCCGGCGAATCGTTGATGCCATCTCCGACCATTGCAACGACCATCCCTTTCGCCTGTAAGTCTTTGATTCTATCGGCTTTCCCCAACGGATCTGTTTCCGCAAACACGTTTTCGATTCCGACCTCCTTGGCTATGGCGGTGGCCGTTGACCAGTTATCACCGGTGACCATTATGCTTCTGATACTCATCGATCGTAAAAAGGATACAACACGTGCCGCCTCGGGCTTCACCGGATCTGTGACTGCAACAGCGCCGACGACTTTTCCGTCGATTGCGAGGAGCACACAGGTGCGAGCTAGGTTTTCGTTGTCGGAGAAGTAGGTTTCGACCTCAGGGCTGAGGGAGACGTTGAAGGATCTCATGAGCTTCTTGTTTCCGACTAAAACTGTTTTGGATCCGACTTTGCAACCAACTCCGGCGCCGGGATGCACCTCGAAGTCCTTCACTACTGCACTGTTGGTAGTTTGAGATTTGTGATTTTGTAATCTGTTTTTGGCGTGTTTCACTACTGCTTTTGCTATGGGGTGTTCACTATTTGCCTAAAAACAAACCAAACATATATCAAATTTAAGATTCCAACATATATAGACTTTCTGTGTCTAGCTGACATGAGACTTTGTCAGATATACGGTTAATGAGATAATCCGGAAGTTAGAAAGTAGAAACTTAAGCAGACCTCTACGGCAATTGCTGTGTCACAAAACTCCTCCATTGAGATTCTGGAAAAAAGTATTGCGCTAACAACTTCCGGCTTTCCAATTGTTAATGTTCCCGTTTTATCAAATACTACTGTGTTAACCTACACAATCCACACAATCTTCTTTAAAATCGACACAAAATCTTGAAGGATACAATTGTTGAAATTTTGTTTCCCAAACATTATATTGGAGCTTTCAGTTATAAAATAACCGAAAATTTCAATATAACCATCTATTGTCATAAATATCAGCATCGACATCAGTTGACTGATCAACTAATGCTGATGCTGCTAAAATACCTTGTGGGCCTTGTGGGCCTTTTCTAATGCATTTCCGCCCTTGATAAGTACTCCTTGAGACGCGCCTTTACCGGTCGCAACCATAACAGCAGTAGGAGTAGCTAAACCTAATGCACATGGGCAAGCTACAACTAAAACCGATATCCCAAACTGTAATGCAAGCTCGAACTCGTCCATAGCTTTTGGTATCCAACTTTTGGGATAAATTCCAGCCACTCCTGGAATAAACCACCCCATCCATGTCACAACAGCAGCCAAAACCACCTAAAATTTATAAAGTCATATTCATTAAAAACAAGATCTCGAATGAACTTGGGTTGACTCATATTGAGCGTTAGAATGACAAAAAAACTCACTGCGGGTACAAAAAACTTTGATATTTGATCAGCTAGTTTTTGTACGGGAGCTCGAGCAAGTTGAGCGGCTTCTACTATTTGAACAATTTGTGAAAGTGCGGTCTCAGAACCAACATGAGTAGCCTTGATTAACAAGCAACCATTTTCATTCACAGTGCCACTGATAACCTATTTACATTTTCAAAAGTGTCTCCAATTTCATAAAATGTGTCCACATGTTTTTAGGGCTTATGTCATATTTAATCAATGAAGTTTGTCTCATTTACCCATTTAGTCTTGTCTAATACACACAAGTTTGTTTAAATTTAGGGATTTGGTTTCACATAAGCCCCTAAATTTAATGGCAAAGTCATTTCTATTAGAACTTTCAAGACTAAGGTTATGTTTCACAAGCGATAATTATTTTATTTTTCAAAAAATTTTAGGTAGTCATGTTCGTCAAACAAAAAAGTTGATTGTAAGTTAGTTTTTTTATAAGGCTACTCAGACTAATGTTTCAATTGAGCTTACGAAGCTTTTTTAAAATTCTTTAAAATATACCATCTCCTACATAAATTTTTATGCCATTTTACATATTTTTATGTCGTTTTACATATTTCAGTTAAGTTATCAACTAGTTTTAGTTCTACCAGATGTCAACTTTTATCAGTAGCAACTCGCTTTTCGGTTAGCTCGTCAAACATAGACTAAATGAGTAATTTGGACAGACTGTGTTGGGAAAATATAACATAAACTTTTTCTTTTTATAGAAAAATATAAAAATAAATCAGATACCCGATCGCCTGGATTTTTAACTACCGGGGTTGCTTCTCCCGTGATCATACTTTCATTCACATACCCTTGACCATTAATCACAATACCATCAACAGGAAACTTCGACCCAGGAAAAATCTTCAAAACATCATTTCTTTCGATCAACCGCGTGTTAATTTCTGTTTCTGAAAGAATGTTTCCCTCATCGTTCATTGTCAATAAACAAGCGGTATCCGGGGCTAACTCGGCCAATTTAGCTAAAGCAGCGGATGTTTTTCCTTTCGCGGTGGATTCTAAGTATTTACCTAGAAGAATAAATGATATTAACATGGTACTTGTTTCAAAGAAATCTTGACCCTCAAATTTGTCTGAAAATAGTGCTTTTATTATTGTGTATATAGAATAAAAATACGCAGCATTTGTCCCAAGTGCAACAAGAACATCCATGTTAGCCGATTTTCGTCTTAATGCGTGATAAGATCCCACATAAAACCTGAAGATTTAATCAAAAATTGTTTTAAGAAATAATAATTATAAAAGCCGTTTTTTTGGTTAAGTAAATGTCAAAGTTAAAAAAAATTATTGTGGAGCTTCTTCATCTACATAGTTTTTTCACTTCTTTTTTCAAAATGTACTTTTTTTATTAATTTCAAATAAAATTGGTTGGCCGTTACAAAAATGGTTGTTTAATTTTGTTTAATATAATGTGTAAAATATTCTACAACCTATAAGATGCTTTTTTTTTTAATTTCATAAAATATAAGTTAGAAAAAGTAAACATAGGAATATATAAATATTATAAACTATAAACTACATTATAATGACCAATATATATTTTCTTTTCTATAATAAGATAATTATATACTATTTTGTTATATCTAACTTTACTTCTTATTTTCATTTCGATAAAAATATAGAAAAATGATACAAACTGAAATTGGTAAGACCTACAAAATGAGCTTTTAAGATTTGTGAAAAAGCTTTACTATAGTGGAGTTATCTACTTATCTTGAACTTTTTGTTTTTGTTTTGTTGTAATTTAAAAAGGCACATAATTATGGATATTGTAAATATGCTTAAAATAAGAGAGAGAACTTAAATTAAATCTTTGTTACCTTCGACCAATGAAGAACTGGACAGGTGTACATAAGATCCATCTTAAAACCATTCCAATCGTAAGCATATTATGAATCTTGTAACTCAACCAATTCCCATATGGTGGAATCATTGGAAGCACCATAGAGAAGATAAAAACAGGAATCGAAAACAAGCAACTCCAGAAAAACATATTTCTGTAAACTTTAATTTCATGGTTTCTCTCTGAATCACGTTTTCTTTCTGGAATATATAAGCTTGCTTGATAATTAGCCGATATAAATGACATAATTGACCTTGGACCAGTTAAATTTGGATCATAACCAATAGTCAATCTGCATTCTTCTGTATTTGTTTCAACATGATTGACACCATTCAACGATTCTACAGATTGTTTGATGGAAACCATGTCTTGTGGAGATATGAAATTGATACCTTCGAGTTTTATATGAACTTTATTTGCATCAATTTCAGGTCCTATAAGATCGGCTTCAAATCCTGCATCTACAACTGCTTCAATGATTTGATTTGTGTTGGTGATGTTTGGATCGTAGTTTATCTTTGCTTCTTCAAGAGCTAAACCCACAACTGCTTTTTTTACTCCTTCAACGATTAAAAGAGAGGATTCAATCGATTCAGAACAACTTGTGCATGACATTCCCTTGATTTTAAGTCGGCATACTGCTATGTCTTGCTCTAGAAACTCAGCGATTTGAAAACCTGCAACTTCCATGGCTTCTTTGACTGTTTCTCCCTGAATAACGAATTAATATCAGAATATATATATATATATATATATATATATATATATATATATATATATATATATATATATACGGCATAAATCAATTTACGAGGGAATAGTTCATTGTGACTTACATTAGATTGTTGCAGAAACGGTATGATTAGATCTTCGTTCGCATTACCCTCCATTTCTGCAATGCAAAATTTGAATCGATAACTATGAACAACACATGTTTTTGAGCTAATAACGAGTTTCAAATCTTTCATTGTTTACTATGACTTCGTATTCCTCATATACATGCATCGATCAACATATATTTTGAAACCCTAACTATTATGAACACGGCGATTATTCAATCTGCTGAAAGCACACGCCACGCCACTCTGATTACTTCCTGTAGCTAAATAAAACTAACTAACTAACGAAAAATCTATCCTTTCATGGCTAAAACTACGGAAATGGATGAATTGAACAAACATGATTGAAAACATTCGGAGATTTAGTTGCTAAAGTGGCTCAATTGAAGCTTCTACGATTAAATAAAGAAGTATAGAACATAATAGTTAAATATATGGACAAGAGCAACGGTTTACCTATTCCGGAAGTAGATGATTAGGGTTTTGCGAGATGATTAGTGCAGATGTTTGGAGTTGGAGAATTCAAAATTTCTGTTTATGAAAGGATATAT